TTTTCGGCTACTAAGGGCTCCAGGCCTCCCTTACAAGACCCGCATAGCAGCAGTGCAGGGGATGCAGGGAGAAGCAGAGGTTCCTCGTTCTTTCCTTGCTGCCCCCAGGCTGCTCCTGCCTTCTCCACAAGTGCCTGTCCTGCCCCACAAGCGCCTTCCTGCTCCCTTCAGCTTGAGCAGAGCTTCGGGGCTCCCGTGTCTTCCTCCTGCAGCTTCTCCTTGGCCAGACGTGGTCCTGCAGAGGGGAGGGAGGCTAGCAGGAAGGTGGCAAGAGAGCCTGGGAAAGGATTTCCATTAATATTTGAGCGCAAGTTGACTGGGAATTGCAGCTTCAACCAAGCTGCTTTTAAAGAAGAACCCACACCATAGCTCCCTGCGCCACAGAAACACTGCAGTTATCCCCATTGCTGAGAATGCCAGAAGCTCAGCCTTTTGGCACCACAAACTTTCCTTCCACGTGCTGAGGGACCACTCAGGCTGCATCCCCAGCACCCCGCTCCGGGGCAGCGACTCCTAATGTACTTCTGTGCTTCTGCCTCAAGGACGGGGAGAACACAGCAGCCACCCAGAGCATGAGAGAGAGGCAAAAACGGTACTGTGGGTTTCCTGCTCTGCATGGGGCCTAATCCAAAGGAAGTCACTTGGATCATGGTTTCTTCTGGATGACCACAGGAAGTCAGGCATCCGGGCTTCATGCTGAAGTGATATCAATGCTATGTGGAAAAAGATAATTCCCTAATTTGACTACTCAGCCAGCGACTCTGGGAGGGGTAACTCACCCCTTGTGAGGTTCCTGCTCCAGGGGAACCATTCCTGAGAGCCTCCCCCTCAAGAACCACCCAGGGATTTATATACACTATTTAGTATCAGCCCACTCAGCCCCCACTGGAGTAACTCCAGCCGAGGTCTTCGTCGGCGTGAGGGATGAAGGATGCTGTGCAGCTGCTCAGCATGGCCCACGCCGGCTGCTCACAGCGGCCTGACCTGCAGAGCCACCACGGTTGTGTCCTCATGTCCAACATGGTGCCAAACGACAGCCCTTCTCCCCATCTTGCTGGACACCAGTTGCATGGAGAGAAAAGTGCCCACAACAGCCAAAAACGTGGCCGTGCAAACAGTCATTTTGGAGAGCCGGGAAGGGCCTTGGAGCTCATGCACATGAACACTGCAGCTCTGCTGCTCTGAGCTGCAGGGCAGAAGGTGGGACCAGAGGCGCAGTCCCTCTGCCCAAGCCACCAGGCAGAAACATGGAGGAAGCCTGAAGCCACCACAGGCCGGGGTTCCCCGCTGGATTCCGCATGCATTTCCACCAGCTTTCAGCCAGCTAACCTGGGCTCAGAGCTGCTGCTCTCCTGCGAACTGTGCCGAGCAGGCACAGGACACAGAGCTCCTGGGCGAGATAACGCAGGTAAAGGGCTGGATATCAACGGGGAGGATTATTTTTTATTTAGCAATTTAGTTCAAGGTTTATTTGTTCCCTGCATTGATACTCATGTGAACTCACTCCAGTTCAGAAGCTACCACGTAGGGAGAGAGGAAATAACACAATCTGGCTCTCCTGCCATCCGAGCAGCAGAGCTCCTCACATCGCTGGGGAGGCCAGCAGCACGTTCAGTGCTTTCCCTCATGGTGCCACAGGACTTTGTGGTACTTGTGTAACCCCTTCCTTTCCTTGACTCGTCACTGCTGCCGGTACCTTGGTGCAACACCACGGCTCTACAACACCAGCTCTCCCATTTTGCTCTTACTGCACCTCTCATTTCTGTGCAGGCAAAGAGGGGGCAAAGCCCTGGAATGGGGCCTCCGAGAGCACTCCCTTCCCTACCCTCATTCCTGGAGGCCTCACAGCTCCTGCAGGCATCACAGGGGAGCCTGGGGCACCAACCTCTGCTAACTGCAGCCACGGGGGTAGTTTTCCCCAGCGTTTGTCCAGAAGGACCTTCCAAGGCACGACCGCGCGCCGTGCCCAGCGCACGCGCCCCCGCAGCCCTGTGCGCTCTGCTGACAGGCCGCTCCATCCACAGGCAGGTGCAGGCTCCGCGCCTCGCCGAGACCCTCCTCTCCAGTCACCGGGATGTCGCTGCCATCCCGCTCAGCAGCATTCCCGGAGCACGGACGTGCTGGGCAGCACCCCAGGGCTGCCCGGGAAGGACCATCTCCTCCCCAGCGCCTCTCCCCGAGCACCAAAGCTGGGCCAGGAAATGGAGAATAGTGAGCTTAGCATTTCTGCTGCTTTGCCCCTTTAAGGTGTGAAAGCAGGATTTGTGATCACCACCCTCAGAGGAAAACAACCTTGTTGTGCCAACGGGCAAGCAAGAGACAGCCACAAAGATACAGATCTGCAAGGCTTTAATTAAAGCGCAGCTAAAGAGCGAGGCGTAGGAGCCCTCTGAGTGTTTCACAAGGCTCCTCTTGGTCACTGCCGCTTGTCCTGCAGGTGGCACGGCCCCGGGGACGCTCTGCTCCGCGCTGGCCTGGAGGGCACGCGCAGGGACACGCTGAATCAGTGTCCTGCTGCCTGCCCAGGTAGATCCCCCCCTTCTCCCTTACGTTTTGGCAGCAGGGACCCCGGGGGGGGGCACCGCTCCCCCAGCCTGCTGCCACCACGGCTGCCGCTGGCATCAGGAACACACAGGAACACACAGGAACACACAGGAACACACGGGCCTTTCAATACTGCAAGGGGAGAGATTAAACCCTTCCCTCGTTACGCAACGCCGGCCCCTCCTCGCCAGGGACCGTGCAAAGCCAATGGCTTAGTTCAAGGGTCTGAACTGGCCTTTGTAGGCACAGAAGCGCGAGCCTTCTTTCTGACTCCATGAAGACACATCAGTTATTTCCATGCCAAGTCTATTTGTAGGACAGAAACGTGACTTTCTTCCTTTTTAGCTCTGTTTAAATGTTACATTATTTCAAAATACAGTCTGTCAGGGGGAAAAAATCAAATCTAAGGCTGGAATGATCCTTCGGGAAGCTCGGGAATCCCAAGATCCCCAGACCGTACAGATCACAGGTCTTCCCACTTGTCAGAGACTCAGAATTACCTTGAGGTAAGGACAGCCTTGCAGCATTAACGCTGCTTTTTCCCATCCCTTTTCTGGTTTATACTGCTGTCCTAGCATTCGTTCAGTGGTGCTGGTGAAGCACACGCAAGCATGTGCATACACATACACGTGCAAACAAGTCGTTAAATAAAACACAGCGACCAAATGATGCAAACAGCGTTAACAGTTTAACACCTGCCCTTCCGGAGGCCACGAACGGTAGCAGAGACAGAACTTCCACATAATTTCTGGAGAAAAGCTACAACTGTGGACCCCCTTACATAACTGCTTCACTTCAACAGAATTGCTTTCTGCCTTTAATCTGCTCAACAGTTTATCTTTGCTGTCGTGCTCGCTCAGGCTTTCGTTAAACCGTTATGGATTAGCATTCTGCTATAACATGCTAAAAGCAGAGCTTTGTTTATTTTCGTCAAGAGTGGGGGAGGAATATCAGGTGCAAACGATGCAGCGGCGCTTATGGATGGTCATTCTCAAAGTGCGATCGCTGTATTCAGGTTTAGCACCAAATACCAGACCCAGCTAAATTCTTCAAGACAGTACTAGTGACTAGAGCAAAAATATTCATTGAGAAAGAAGGAACTTGATAAATTTGCAGATTTTTTTATTTTGTAAATACAAATTTGAATCAGTATTCAGATATCCACCACACTCACCAGCTTTATATGGAAGACCAAACAGTAAATGTTTTAAAAACTTGATTATCAAAGTTGGCCGATGATTTCACTAACATTGCATTATTGCTGCAAATTGGAGAGAGAAGTCCTGCCAAAAGCAATCTTTTTGCTTCCGTTGAGCTGCAGGAAGATTATTCACTGTAACATACCTAAAAACCCACCGATGTGAAACTCCAATGTGCTGCTACCAAGGAGGCATCAGATAACACTGATCAGACACTCAGTGAATTTCACAGGGGATCCATCGATAATGAAAGCGGATGATCTACTTGAAGAGGAGAGTATGAATTCAAGTCCAAATACCTACTGTAGATTGCCAATCACAATACACTACTGTAAACCCAATCCAATAATTAGCACTTTTGTTTGACCTCTGTGTAATCTAAACGATTTGCAGATGTCGGCCTGGAACGGAGTGAGAGGTTGTGTTCCTGCACACTGCCAATAATCCCCTGTGCAGGCAAAATTATTCCAAGGAAACACTAACTCTGAGATCACTCACGCTGGCAACCGCATGACCTCACAAGTTTCATATCTAAAATGAAGCAAGTAGGCACTTTCACATTGCTAAGAGCAACACAGATTCTGCACGTGAAAAAAAAAACCAACAACAACAAAAAAGGTGTTGTTAAGTTACTGGAAAAACAGAAACACAAAACTGGGGAAGTAATTAAAAAAGGAGAAAAATCTTATTTGCAATTAGTGTGCTGTTTGTTTTGCTTTCTTATCGGGAGGGATCTTTATTCTGCACATTCCAGCAAATGGCCATTTGCTATTAATTTATCTTCTCTCTGGCAAGCAGAGCCCCATTCCAGAATGTCAACATTCCCTCGATGCTGCTCTGCTGAATGCTCGTGCACTATTTAAACAAAGCATATTCCATCCAGATCTGACTATATATGGAATTCCCTGACAAAAAAAAATGGATGCCCTGCAGGAAAGAGCCACAAAAACAGAAAACACACACAAACACACTAAATACTCCGAGCTTCCTGTACTAAAAGAGGCTTTTGGAGGCAAAGGTCAGGTACCCAGTGTGACCAACCATCTCCCTGAGCGGAACACCACTTTTGAACTGCACAGTTCCTTGCTGCGGATTAGTGCACGGGCTACCTTCATTTGTTGGGTTGCTGCTGTCAAAGCCAATGCTCGAATTATCCCCAGACGCTTTTCCAAGGTCAGGGATTTGCAAGCTAATTGTCCTTACATTGTACACTCGCAGCAGAATTTCCAAAGTGTTAATCTCTGTAAAACCATGTTCTTCCATCGCCAGGCAGGTTCTTTGGACTTGTTCGATGCAAGGGGAGAAAGAGCAGATGCGGCCGCCTGCAAAACAAGACAGGTAGTAGCAAATAAGGGGGAAAAAAGGGAAGAAATTTCTTTTTATCTTTATTCCTGCACACAGACTTCCCCTTGAACAGTGAAGAATTTCCAAATAAAGTCTCCAAGAGGCACCTGTGCAGGTTTAAAGTACAAGCACAGAACAAAATACAGGTTACTTTACTGGACGCTTCCAACCCTTTAAAAACGGCAATGGCAAATTCATTGTCTTCCAAATCCAAAGCTGCCCACTACATTTGTTGATGCTGACACTATTAGAGCGGATCGCTTTGGACCGATCTGCTACTCTGGACTGAGGCTCCGCGCTGCCCGTGGCACCTACACAGAGGCAGGGTCGCCCTGCGCACGCCGCTCCCAGCCTCAGCGCACAGGCGCCCTGACAAAAGCGGCTGTGTGTATGTGGGCACGATGGTATGTGTGTGCAGCCTCCCCAGGCCATAGATGGAGAGCTGCTGAGACTTTACCCTTTTAGTCGAGCTGACTGGCGTATCTCCTCTGCATTAAGGCTTGCTGAATATCACACCGGGCAGCTCTGCTTCAAAACCGCTGCACGCTAGTGCAGGGCTTTGAAGTGATAAATTAACACTCGTCTCCACATGTGAGCACTGCTCCGATTTTTGCTCTTCAACACAGAGTATTAATAATCCCCCTTGCAACTTTCTACTTGCTACAATGTCACCTTAGCAGCTGAGAATAGAATGATTCAGATTTACTCTGAAAAGCCACAGCCAAATCAGATCAAAGAATTATAAGGACACTGCCATAAAGCCAGGGCATGTGCTCTCACCCAGGACACGCTGTCCCGAACAGCAACTGCCCTTCCTGAAAAGCTTTCACGCTGGAGGAGGGAGAGCTGCACCACATAGCTTTAGCTACTGTTTTAATTATTAAAAGTGGAGGAAAATGTTTGCTGACCTGATTTGCATTCCTTCCCAGGCTTATCCAGCCCAGCCTTTCAATACCAGTTGTCTAAGTAGTTAAAGAACCCGTGCAACAGAGAGCAAAGCATCCTGCTAAAAATAGAGGCCATGCTGGGACTACACGAAGTCTGCTTTATCTCAAACTACCCCCTTTTTTCTAAAGTCATCTCTCTAAAAAAAGCAAGAGCCAGGTCTGAGCGCGTCACTGTAGCGCTGCGGTTGCTGCGCGCGAGGGATGTGCAGGGCACTGATTGGGGAAGGATGCTTTCCATGGCCACTAATCCACCACGCGCTAAGTAGGATTTAATTTTAGTCCTGGAATAACGTCTCTGCAGCCAGGGGTTCTTATCATGTATCTTCAGAACAAAGCACCCTGGACAAGTAATTCCCTGGAGTCACAATTAAAAGACAAATCTAATAATCACCTGCAAATAATGTTGATATGTGTCACTATTAACTGACTCTGCAGATGCCAATTTAACAGCAAACTTGTTCTGCTGGCCTGCATGAAATTAGATTTCTATGTTCATCAGCACGGCCAGGGGTACCAAACTGGATCTGAATCAGACAGCTAGGCCTTTCTGGCCAAAACAGTACCCACGTCTCTCGTGACAGCGCAGGCAAGAGAAGGCGGCTCAGGAAACTGTGCTCTGTCTCTGTAGGCTGTTACATAATTAGACAGCTACTATGATGCACATGCAATAAAGATGTTATATTCCTACTGTGCAAGGAACTGAACAAACGTCTAACTTAGCTAAATGTCAGCTCACAATAACTCTTTGTCTACAAAGCAAGAATTTGCAGAGAGATCAGAGATTTCCTACTACTTCATTCAGGCTTTTTTCTGTGTTTTGTGTAGAAATAAAAAAGGCAAATGCATTTACGTTTGCAGTAAGTTGATTCTCCTGATTTACTCTGTCTGCAGGAACTTCAAGACATCTTTCAGCTGTCAAACTCACGTGCATTTTTGGATTTACAGTCCAAAAGCACGAGGACTGCACACAGCCGTGGCAATACAAGACCCGCCTACGGTTCTTGTGGAGCCTTCGGTTACGGCCCGAGCGGCGCCCGCTTTGCTCCAGGACGGATGAGCCGGGCTCAGCGCGTCCATGCCAGGCTTGGGTGTCATTTATCAGACTGCCCTCCTGCAGAGTGGGCTGCCTGAAGATGCTGTGCTACAGAAAACCGCCTTTGGAGCCACCTGGCAGGGAAGAAAGGTCTTGTTTCGATAGCCAATATCCAGAGGGGAAGGGCAGAGAAAGATTTACCTCACTGACTGTCGGGAATTTCTCAGGTGTTCAGAGGGAAAACAGTTTAACAGCTGCTATTCCATATAACGTGAGTGGGTTTTAGTAGTTCTGTCATTTCCAAATGCAATACCTGCTGTGCTGGTTATTATTTACTTCTCTCCCCTTGCCCCTACCACATCTACAAATAAGGCTGGAAGCAAAAGCAGCAAGCATCTCTCTTCAGGGATCTAACAAGTGGGAGAGGGCTCTCCTCTGCTTATTCCTACACGGGAAGGGCTGGATCTGACCTGCAGGCTGGACTTTTTTGATTAAGCAGAGGTTGGAAGGCTACAAACTCTGAGAGCAGATAAAGCGGGTGGGGAAAACAAAGCAAAAATGAAACTGCAGTTTCAGACTGCAAGAGGCCGTCTTAAAAAAAACACAGGAAGCTTCAACGGCCATGGTGTGTTGGGAGTATCAAGAAAAAAGGACTTTGGAAAACAGAAATCCAGCACTCAGAAGGACACGCTCCTGTGCTCCGTGCGCAGAGAGGCTGGATTACGAGCTCAGTAACACCCGTTCTGCCACAACCACCACCCAGATACGCATCTAGATTTCAGTATTCACAGTTCTCAGAGACTCTGAGAGCCCTGTTGTCCTTTAGACATCCAGAGCATTTAGGGCTTAAGGGACTTGCACACGCATCGCTCTGTCCCCCCATGCCAAGGATGCCAAAGTGAAGGGGGAAGAGCCGGCTGCTCCCTCCCGCCGGCTCCAGATGCACAGAGGGTCACCGAGGAGCCTGGGACTGGCCCAGGGAGCAGTAAACCCCATCAAACCGAAGCTTTTTAGCACAGATGCAGCTTGTGTACTTGAGAGCTCTCCTCTGAGGAAAGCTACTGCTCCTAAATTTGTTTAATGAGATGTGTGTCATCATAAATTGATATAGTAATTATCTGAGATTAATCCTGTTCACATTGGGAAGCTGTGTGAGCTTTTTGATCTGAAGAGCTGTCGAAAAATGTGTTTATTCATGTATAATGCATCTGACAAGTGCTACAGTTGAGGAGAGAATAATGAGTCTCTATGAAAGACTTAATTTTTTTCCCACCTTCAATTTTACAGGGAGTGAGTTTGTCTGAAACATCTAATGGAGAGGTTAAATCTCCTCAATTTGTGGCTGGGAATGAGCTCACGTAGTGCTGGTAGTCACTGTAACCGGCAGCAGGGTCAAGATCATACGAAATTTAAAGTACACTTCAAACTGGAATGATTAGAGGGAATGATTTAAAGGGAAGCAGGAAATAAATGAAGCTTTACATCTGCCCAGAACTGGATGTGCTGCAAGTGCTCTGACGGGCTGTTTCACTATCTCAATGTTATTCAGAGGATGCAAAATGAACATATATGAATTGCAGCACTGCTAAGTCCCACGAACTGGGGGCCAATTCTGTGCTCTGAAGGATACAGCAGCATTCTTATTCCTAGTAAAAGAACCTAGCTCTGTGTTTTAGGGTTTCAGTGCACAGTCGTAACTGGAAAACTAAGAGATTCCAAGGAAAATAAACAAGCAGGCATTAATGTTGTGTAGGGGTGAGGCATCACCATGGCATTTACTCTGTGCTAGCAGGACACTAAAAATATTGCCTTTGAAAAAGGGGACAGAATGTCCTTTAAGTGAGTGCGCTTGTGGGCGACTTGATGTAGCTTCCCTGACAAGTGAAATTAGAGAATTTGGTTGTTGGAGGGAATTAAAGGATGTCTCTTGATTCAGAAAAAAAACATTCCCCAAGTCACTCGCGAACTCATTAACAGCAATTTAGTGTGTTTTCCTGCAGAGGCTGCCTTAGCTTCTCTGCTTGCAGGTACATCCTCAGGAAGACTTCATTCCCACCGGTGGAAAAAGGCACGTAACAGACATTAATAAAACCAGTTGGCTCCAAGTTGAGGGAAAGACAGAAAAAGCCCAACAACCTTCTTTAAGGTTCTTTCCATTTGAAGCTGCCTCCTTCAAGCTGTGCAGAGGCCAGCAGCTTTGGCCAGGGCTCCCCAGCCTGCAGTGTGGTGCAGAAGTTAACTTAAAGTCAACTTAAAGTTAGTATGTCAATATTTACCCTCTCCTGGAGTTTGTTCTTCTTGGAGTCAAAGCAACCACCTCACTTGTAAAGATGGGTGCTTATATTTTAGAAGCACCTCTTGCTTCATCCCTTTATCCCCTTTGGAAACTAAAACTCACTACTATGACTGAGAGCACAGTACTGCTGAAGGGCTTTTGTGATGGCAGGAGTTACAGGAGTTCTCCAAAGGAGACATTCAGAGGCACCTTTCCTTACAGAGCTCTGGGGGAGACATGGCAGCACCATGTTATTTTATTCAGGTATTACAGATCACACCACGACTGACTCAAAATGTAGGGCTTTATGATATTCAGTATGGAGTGGTGAATTCAAATACAACAGTACTATCTTTAAGAGAAGTAAAGGAAAACAAAAGAGGTCTGGCAACAATAATTTTGCTGTTTCAGACTGTTCATTTAAATATACCAAGGACTGATTCATACTGTAAGAGACCAATACAACCCAACATACAGATGTATTTTTCTAACTCCCTACAAGAAAACTTAAAATCTGCATGAAAAATATTGCATAAATGGGTTTCTGCCTCATATTCCATGGCCCTGAAAAAAACAGGCAATATTTATGAGAGGAGAGTAGGTGGGTGCAGAATTATAATAAAAGCACTACAGTATTCAGCTGTGCGATGGCTGTGAGTCAAAAGTTTCAGGGCATTTAAGAACTGTAGGATGTTGTGGATTTTTTTGTTACTTCACAGAATATCAGTGACAGCTTCATTTTTTTCCCTTTTAGCCTGAAGGGGTTAGTAAGAACTTTGCAGAAACACCAAGGTCAGATATTGAGAACAGCAGCCATCAGGGCAGAAGAGCATTAATCAGCAGCTGCTGCAGTAGGAAAACAGCCTGGGTCTGGAAATGAAAGCAAGCACTGCAGTGCAGCAGTCCCCAGGAGCATTACGAGCAGCATTTCTGCTAAAGCTGACTGGTGCAATCAGCTCAGAAGGATGCAGCTGAGAGCACCTCATCACTAAACACAAACCTTGTAGCCACAACGTCACCGGGCCACTTTACCCTCTTTGCTCTTTACATATGGCAGTGCCTTGAACGGGAGGCCAAGCTGCTGAAAGCTGCATGTTCACAGCAGGGCACAAGGCACAACACAAGTGACAAACGTACCCTGCAAGGAGGATTGCTGACATGGCCTACTTAAACAGAGAGTTGCAAATAGCCAGGGTCTTGAGCCTGAGTAGGAGAGAAAACACTGGCTTGATAAGGATTTGTTAAAGTTAAGAATTCTCTCCTTACTGTCTCAGCTGAAGACTCAGTAATGAATATTGTGGTTTTAAAGAGGAGGCTAGATGATGTTCCTGTATTGAATTTGCTTAGCCCTGGCTTCAATTTAAGTACCTCAAGACTTCAAGAAATGAATGGCCACTCTCTGGCAGCAGAGTTGCAATGCTTGCATTATGTATGATAATAATAAACCCTACAATGTCAAAAGTTCAAATGTGACCTGTTCTGATGTGAGATGGAAGAAAAGAGAGAAACGACTCGTTTTCTCCAGTGATGCTTTATCAGGGTACTAACCCTGGGAATGGTGGTGAAAACAGCAGTTATGTACACAGATTGTTCTCACTACAAAAGAGCTCTTACTATTTGAAAACAAAGCAAAATAAACAACAAAGCACTATAAAATAATCTGCTGG